TGTGTGTGTATGGGTGGGTGTGGGTCTGTGTGTGTGTGTGTGTGTGTGTGTGTGTATGTGTGTGTGTGTGTGTGTGTGTGTGTGTGTGTGTGTGTGTGTGTGGGTGTGGGTGTGTGGGTGTGGGTGTGGGTTTGTGTCTGTGTCTGTGTGCGCGAGCTCGTGTGTGTGTGTGTGTGGTCCAATTAACATTTGTACTCACAACTCATTACAGTTACGACCGGATGTGGACGTATGAATGGCTCATTATTTTATAATTTGTTCATGACTGTAACCATGTGGAAATAAATGGTATAAAATACCGACACAATGGAAAATATAAACACAAATGCAGTATAATGTGATCCTTTATTGACTACGTTTCGCCCACACAGTGGGCGTCAGACCTGCTTGCAGGTCTGACGACACAAGGAATGCCTGCGTACAACACCGTAATTCACACAACCACTTGATAAACTACAGAAACTCAGGACTCATCGCCACAGAAGACAACACTCAATACCGAAGAATCCTGGAATCATCACTTATTTCTATATCCGACAACTTCAACCAGAATAGTGGCTTCTATAACATAGCTGAACCACTTGCCAAGAAACTTCTTCATCGCTATCCCACATAAGAACACTGTAGAAGGTCTGCTCACAAACTTGTCCAATCTCCTTTCCAAGCTACCCAAGTTTTTAGACTCTATAACCCCACTCGGTACATCATCAGATGCAGCATTCTTCACCTGACCTCAGCATTCTGAACCGGACTATAAATACTCGCGTTCCTTCCACCCCAGGTAGTTCTGTTTGTGACTTGAAAAAGCCCACTGTGTGGGCGAAACGTAGTCAATAAAGGATCACATTATACTGCATTTGTGTTTATATTTTCCACTGTAACCATGTATAGAAGTGTAGATGATTAGTTACCTTTGCAATTTGGTCACGATTGTGACCAGATCTACCTGGAGTTCATTACCTTTGCAACTTGTTCACCTATCAAAACTTTGGGGCCCAGTCCCTGGACCCATTATGCACTTCTGTAATCTTTTGACTACCGCCCACAGGATGGGTATGAGGCGCATAATAAAGATATTGAACAAAGAAGTTTACACAAATATATACGGTATATGCAACTGTTTATGCAGCATTTGGTACACACACATATTTACCCAATATTCAGTGCACATAGGGAGAGAGACTCACTGACGTACGGGAGGAAGTGTAAGAGCCAAGTATCTTAAAGAATCCATCACTACCCACCAGCAGCAGCAGCTTCTGTAAGTGCAGGAACCAGCAACCCCAATTCTACCTCCTCCTCTAACATCTCTCATCTCAATAATACTAATGATCCAGCTACTTTTCCTGTTCTCTCTCATACTCTCAGTCTCACAGAAAAGGAGGAAGGTGGTTCTTGCAATGTCAGTGCAGCTATGAAGGGTTAGGCTATTGGCGGAAGTTTCAGGATTGGAAAGTGTAACATGAGGAAGGTTCCCCAAGGATAAGTTCTGGGATCTAAACTATTTTTAATACACGTAAATGACCTGCCAGATGGAACTGACTCATATGTTTTGTTTGCTGATGACGTAAAACTAACGAGAAGAATAAGAACTGAAGAGAATAGAAACTAGCAACAGGTAGACCTAGACAAACTGCAAAAATAGAGTTCAACCCAAGCAAGAACAAGTTCATGAAAATTGGGACAGCAGAGAGGTGACCAGACATGGAATACATTTTGAGAGGCGAGAAACTGTAAATATCGCTCAAGGAGAGGGATCTTAGAGTGAACATCACACCCAACATATCAACACAGGTGCCCATACATCGCATAACATCAGCAGAATATGTGAGCATAGCTAATTTCAAACCTGCCTTCAGAAACCTTAATAACAATTGATTTGTATCCTGTGCAAGCCGTGGATGAATGATAAGGCTTCACAGGCTCCTTACTTGGGTTCGTAATACACAGGCAGTGTGTTTAAGTGCTCTGGGGTGACCCAGGGCACTTAAACACACATCCACTCAAGGAAGGAGCACGGCATCAGACCCTCTAGCACAAGCTGATCAGGTCCAACTCACACCCACTCATGTATTTAACTAGCCTATTTTTAAAACTACACAAAATTTTTGCTTCTATAACGGTACTCGGGAGTTTGTTCCACTCATCCACGACTCTATTATCAAACCGGTGCTTTCCTATATCCTTCCTGAATTTTACCAACATGAATATTAATGGATGTAGAGTAATGTAATTATCAATGTGGTATAATTACATCTGAACACGTGTACATGTATCAACTCCTGTACGTACATGTATATCATCCGTGTACGGGTATGGCCAGGCCTTCAGATGTCTTTAATACCACCTTGATAATTACATTTCTCTACGTCCATTAATATAATCATTACATCGGTAAAGAATTTGAGATCTCAAGCACAATGGTCTAATAGCTAGTGAAGTCAGACGATCACATTCGGTGTAATGAAGGCTCGCAATTGCATTCAAAATAATGAAGGCTCGCAATTACATTCAAGGTAATGAAAGTTCGTAATGACGTTTAGAGTAATGAAGGAGGGTAATTAAAGCACTACTCTTTAGTACACACTCCCTCCCACGGGTATGATGGCGCACTGTGCCAAGAGCCAGATTAAACACTGTGCCAGGGGTTTGATGGCGCTCTGTGTCATTGACATGATGGTTCACTGTGCCAGGAATATGATGACACTGCGAAATTAAGGTATCGTATAAAGTCCTCGAGCTATCAGAATTAAAAACCATTTATCGTACTCAATGGCAAACAACGAGACACTTTGAATCCACATTTTCTCAGCAAGGAATCAGGCTATTGTGTTTAAAATCCACACTATCGTTCCAAAGACTCAAGCTGTCGAACTCAAAGCTAATAATATCGCCCGCAGAGGTTTTCAGGCTATCTGATTAGAAGTCATACTATCGCACCCAAAGTATTGGGTTGTAGGACCCAAAACGCATACTATCGCACAGAATCTCGAGCTATGGGGGCTCAAAACCCACACTATCGTACCTAAAGACTCTACCTATCATTCTCAAAACAGCCACAATCGCACTCAAGGGGCCAGTATCTCTCATTCAAGTGAAAATCAATGGTAACTGCCTCAAGGGACCGACAGCACGAACATGCGCACCTGACAAAGTCACATTGAACCTTGAATAAATCGTTCTTCAGAGCTGTTGAGAGTCGTTCTCGTGACACCACCGGCCAATGCGAGAAGAAAAATGGTTTAATTATCGGAAAAATCCACACATTCCATATCTTAAGTGCTCAGATTCATTCCTGGAAGAAAAAATGGTAAAAAATGAATGCATGGAACGCAGTGTGGAGTGGCGTGTAAGAAGTGTGGGGAACCACTCATGTAGAGTAAACATATATTATGCAGTACAATACATCTGGCGAAAAGTAATGTTATATCGTCTTACAAACAGTAACCCAACATCGTCTGATGAATAGTAAAGCAACGTTGATGGGAAGTGCGCACATTAAAGACAGTAAAGAATCAAGTTAATAGCGTGTGGAAGGTTCATCTGATTATACTGTCAGTGGTAACCATGATGCAGTGAAGATGTGTGTAATAACGTAAATACTTGGTTCAGTTTCTAGGTTTTCGTCTTCAGATCTCGGGTCCACCTCTTAACTTCTTCGGTGTCTTACTTGATCTGGTGCTGTCATAACTTTTCTTGAAGCTGGGGAGTGTCTGTTTGTTTATACCGAGTCGCCCTTTAGAGTTCCATTTCTGCACTTTTTAATGCTGTAGATGTGTTTCCTAACTCTGCGTTTATGTTTCATCTTTCTCATTTCTCACTTGCAGCATATCACTGTCTCAATTATTCTGATATTTTTTTGTTTTGTACTTATATCCCCTACTTTCTTCTAGCATCGTGAGTTCCACTTATGGCAGTATATTATTCATTTACTGAGCTGGCATTTTCACCAGCCTTTGGACCTCTTCAACTGTCTTTGTGTCAGAAAACTGTTCCGAAATTTGTCGTAAATAGCATTATTGAAAAGGAAAATCGTACTCTTGCCCGTTTTCATTATATTTGTCGTGATTAAATTCTAGCAGCACCATTAGAGAGTATTGGCGTACAGGGTCCAGGTCACCTTGACAAGCCAACCTAAATAAACGTTGAAATTTTACTGAAGTAATTCATTTCGGTGGTTCCCCATTTATGTTGCGCATCAAGACGGTCTTGACTTCATTCATTATTTCCTTATTAATAGTAATCTGTTTTATAGTGAAGAAAAGACAAGTTGCAGGTGAGGCCTCTATTGTGACAATGTTTTATTATGTATGGAGCTTTATCAAGTAATGGATTCAATGTATTTCACATTTGGTTAAATTTGATTAATTGGCATTAACAGTTAATTAGCTTTAATAGATAAATTGATTGAAATATATAAAGTAAAAATGCAATCTTGGTGTTTGTAGGACAGGTTGAGCTGAATAAGATACATATGCAACACTTTTAGTATCTTTATTGGGTAAACGTTTGAGTGCGCTGCTGGTATGTTCAGTCTTACGGAGGCAGCTATAATACTGCAGATTGAAAAAAGTGGAGAGGCTATTTCAAGGCTTTCCGTCCCTTAGCCTATAAGGGACTGAATAACTTCAATCAAGGCTAAAGGACTGAACACTTATCAAGGCTAAGTAAGGGACTGTGAATATCTTAAATTACTTCACCACTTCTTCCACTGTCTTCAGAGTTATGTTACGCCTGCATTAGACTAGAGAAGCCTGCTGTAGACTAGAGAAGCCGTCTGCGCACACACACAACGTTTTAACAATGAAGATACTCAGTGTTGCACATGTATTTTATTCATCTACTTGTCGGTTTTGTATACCACTTATATTATGACCCAGGGAGTGTTAGCCTGAGGATAATGGAGTAATTTATTAGACGGAAGTGGTTTATACTCATTTAATGGCCAGCTAAGTAGAGCCTTCGTCTGGAAATAGGACATAAACCTCCATAGAACTCACAGTGTGGCGTCTTGAAGTGTTTAATCTGTGTTGGAGTTGATCCTTGGTGTAATAGGTCCACTTGGTGGTGCACTCCCGGATGATGTACTGCCTCACTAACACACTCTTAAACACGCTTAAGTAAGACATATACCCGAGTCGACCACCTGGTAAACATTATCCCTCGGTGAAAAGTTGCCCTTTATAAGAATTGTAATTATTAGGCCAACGTTACGCACTACGTTGCTTCTGGAATACTTTATTTAAACAGATATGAGAGGCATTATAAGGTTGCTTACACTCCGCTTGATATATCAGTGTCATAAGAACATAGGTCTGTATACGTTGTATCATGTACTTGTAGAAATAAAGATTATTATTATCATTAAGATTACTGTTAATATTACTGTATTTAAAGTGCTTCACTCGCGCACACTTGTCACTTTCGCATTCTCTGTACTTTGTATACAGCTGTGTACTTCACTTGTTTGTTAGTATATGTGTATTTACCAATATGTGTTAGTAGTAGTATCTGCAATCATGAGCGTTGTTCATACCGTTGGCTCAGATATGGATGGCCTCTCCACAAGGACTAAGTCATTTTTTCTGACAAAGTCAGATTCTTAATCAATCATCAGTGCTCTCTCTCCTTACACTAACTCTGATTATCGCCCTTTCTAATAACGTAAGTTTGGTATCGTTTGCCCCATTGATTTAAGACTTATTTACTTTTTCAGCTTCACAATTATCAGGCCTGCTGTACCGCAGCTTTGTGCAATGGGTATCGCTGCTGTCACACTTACACTGTAGTACATTCAATAACAATACCTTGCTTAGTGAACAGATCGTCATATTACCTTTTCCGTCACACCAACTACGATCGTCTGTTATTCCACTGATAAAAACTAAAAATATTCCTTATTTCTGCTGGGAAGGAGGGCATTTAGTTTGCCCTGGGCTTGTTCAGACAGCAGGCACACACGTCACCACGGATGGGAGAGTTAAGGCACTGGAAGCTGGGACCAGCAGTTGCCACTTGGATGTGGTGGGCGTTGGGCGATTGGGTGGGGAGTTTGGGTGTTGTCCGGAGGGTTAATAATGAGGACAAGCTTCCTCATTCATATACACAGGACCCAGGTGGGCTGAGGGGAGAAGGACGTGGTCTGTGACAAGCACCCCCCCCCCTTTTCCCCCTCCCCCTCTCTCTTTTTATTTACACAACGGTTTTACGGAGATAGGTTATGAGTTCCTACTTTACAAGCAAAGATCTGTTACCTGCCTCAGCTCTTTTGGAAGCCTTTTTGTTATGAGACATACAAATATAGGGAATAGGATGCAGTTGAAGCCATCTGTGAGCCAGCGATTTCATTTGGTCAGCTAACTTTAGTTCATCGTTGTCATTTTGCTGTGCGAACATATTCCAGACTCGGGTCATTTTAAGAATGAAAGATCTTAGTTGAAGTGATGTTACCAGAGTATAGTTGCTCTTCGTCGCCCGTCTTATTGTGTATAGACTCGCTTCTTGCTCGTTACGAAGTGGAGCCAAGAGTGGTACCTCAACAACATTGGCCTCGTATAAACAGTAAGGCCACCCACATACCTCCGGTGTTTAAGGCTCTGCTGGCATGACAGATTTGTTCAGACAGTAACAGCCTCGTTGATCAGGCCCTGATCCACCAGGAGGCCTGGTCATGGACCGGGCCGTGGGGGCGTTGATCCCCGGAATGCCCTCCAGGTAGAGTCCAGGTAGGCAGAGTCCAGGCGAGAGATGAGCCGTCTTCCTCTGTTCTCGATTCTGTCAAGAAATCGTAGGTGAGATGAGGGGCAGGCAATCCAAGAAAGTGGAGGATACTCAAGGTGTGGACTCACTTGTGCCTCGTGTAAATTCCTGTAGCCTCTACTGTCGAGCAGATGCGAGGTA